CAACAAAGAAAGGAGGAATGAGCGGCAGAAGATACCGAGTGTCCGAGTCTTCTAAATCAACGGGTGTTCCATCAATTTGACTTGAAAAGGGGGTCTCTGATCTTCGCACTAGAGAATTCGTAGCTGATATATCTTCCACCGCCAACCCAATGCGCCCGCCCACATAATTCTACTGACACACTATGTCGAAGAGACTTTTCTCACAAGGGAACATCGTTCTGCGTTCCATCTGGTTGTGCATCGATGCGCCACTCAAAAGATGCGGCACCCCCCAGTTCCCCGCTCGTGCGCCCATCTGGTGCCCGTCTTTTAAGTTTACTTCGTCAATTGCCGGACTCGCCCTAACGACCGGATCAGTGCCAAATGGGAAAACGTTGCCTGACATTTCAACCAACAGAGGTTACCCGAGATCGAAGTGGATCGAGTCATTGCACCAATTTCGATCGACCAAAAACAGTTCCCGTCGGGTTCCTGTGCAGCATGCGTGCCGACATTTTGACTCATAATGTTGCCGTCCTACGTGTAAAAAGGTGCGAGTAATTTGACATGTGGGAGAAACAAGGCTCCTCTTTCGCTGCAGATGTCACCATACTCATGATTACTAACTCCGCTTCCTGTCACGGCGTGCGATGCCCTCGCCGCCATAATTGTCCGGTGTGCAAGACGCCTAGCCAGCCGGCCGGTAGATGTGTCCACATGTGCCGGTAACTAATGTCTTTGAGTTTTAGCTAGCCAGCCGGCCCCCCTTTTAACCTTACCCGCCCCCAGAGTCCTTCGGCTGTATGGAGCGATCTGAGGTGGACTTGACCCTGCCACCCTGCTAGTGCGTTCTGAAATATCAACCAATTCTGCAACCTCCTCCTCATCCTCAGGACCAAATCGCTAACATACATGTAGCAGGCAAGTCGCTTCCACTCGGCCCGACGCAACCCTGATGTCTCAGGAGACACATAAACGGAAGCTACTTCCCCACAAGTAGGCTGGCTTCGGGTTCATAACGACGTGCCTACCTTTTCACAGACCCCAGAACCTGGCAACTTGAGCTTGGCAGATGAGCACACCACAGCTCGCATCATCCATGCCGTCCGGGAGGCGCAGCCTAAGTCCGACAACTGGACTCGATAGGGATCGCCCAATTCCCGCTCTTGTCGGCCCGCTCTTGTCGGCTCATGGAGAACCTGTCAGGCTTTGTTCTGTGTCGACTCTCTTGCTCCGTACGAACGACCGTGGCTGACGTGAAGAGTGTGACGAGCCGTTAGACAACCCGCAAGCGAGGAAGTGCACCTCGAAGCCTTCCCATGATGATTATGATCAGTGATCAGGTGTGCTGAGCTGGCTTCTCCCTCAACTCGATTGTGCCTTGCCTTTTGATAGCTGTTCCAAATAAGTGCAACCACTTTGCTCGCTTCCAATCCACGTTGCTTGTCTGACCCCCCGCAGAGCTGGGCGTCTCCCTCTTGCGGTCGGAATCTGCCGTCAAATGGTATTTATTCTTGCCAACTCGTCCTGCTAGACTTTGGGCACAGGGGGGAGGGGGGGAGGGGACTGTGTCTCGCTTAGGAGCATAGTGATAGAGGTACTTAAATCAACCCGAGGCAGTGTCTATGCGACCTCCCTTGCGATCGAGGTACGCTGTCAGTTTCGGGTTATCACGGAAATGTGATAGTTACCTTTGACTTATTGAAGCAGCTTCGGCCTTCAGAGTGCAACAATGATGGGCTTGGCAGTGGCTTATTACGCAGCTAAGTTCGACCTGATCTTAAAAATGACATACCTTCCTCACATCAGACGAACATGGTTGTGGGAGGCTATTGCCTCCCCCACCGCAGTCCAGGATAGCCCGTTCACTATTCTTTCGGCTATTCTATCGGCTACTGCACCACGTTTACCTTGGGGCTGCATGCGTGAGCCCTGGATTGATGGCGCAATGCGAGTGGGCTTGTTTTTCTACCACGCGACATGCACCCATCATCTTCACGTGGGTGTCGTGATCACGTTCATCGAGCAACCATGCGCGGGCCACGTATATGTAACTTTGAGCACCCACAATGCAGCTTGATCGCTCTCATGTAGCAGCACTGCATTCCTTTCAGGCAGTCTAGCTGCTCCATCAACCCCAGCGGCAGCCCCATCGCATTGAGTTGAAGCCCAAACTCTGCGACAGTAGTTATAATTTTGCTGCTCGTATGATGCCCCTCCCCACAGCCATCAGTCGATCCTCGTCATCCCGAACCCTGAGCCGGCCAAACTGCTGGGATGCGTGGCGAGCTCGATTAGCCAGCTAACAGACCCACGGATCTTTGCCTGTTCAACCCTGGCTCCCCCGCGCTGCGCCCATGCCAATGCTGCTGAGCGAGCTCTCCGGCGACCGGTTATAGGCACCTGCGCTCAATAGCGGGTCAGCCTAGCACGGGATAGCCCTGTCGGCCCTGAACCCAATTGCCCGCCGCCCCATGAGTCGTAGCCTGGTTGTTTCCTGCCGAGTCCTCAATGTGATGTCTTGGTGCAGGCGAAGCTACACTGATGTCACTCCACCAGACCGAAGTGAGCTAGAAGAATGCTAGGCACACCTTGTGGCTAACGTATTTAAATGTAACCCATCTACCTGCAGGTCTTACACGGCAAGCCAATTTCACGACGATCATCTTGCCCACGATGCCTTCTGTTGTATCCGTGCTCGCCGCCGGCCTCTTCGCCCATACGGGCGCGCTGGCTGCCAAGCCCCCGTCCACGGCTCAAATCATTGACCAGAAGACATTCAATGTCCTGCCCTCGGTCCCCCCTCCGTCGCAAGCCAACGACTCGACGGTAGGTTCTTTCCATTTCCCAAGTGGCCCGAGTGCACCGCTTACCTTTCGCCGCAGGTGTTCCTCTGGCCTGGTGTGACCCAGGAGTCGCTTACTGCCAAACCGTTTCACGTATATGACGAGGAATTTTACGATGTTATTGGCGACGCCCCGTCCTTGACCCTCATCGCCACGTCTCAGTCAGATCCCATCTTTCACGAAGCTGTCGTGTGGTATCCTCCGACGGACGAGGTCTTTTTCGTCCAAAACGCTGGGGCCCCGGCCGCTGGCACCGGCCTGAATAAGTCATCCATCATTCAGAAGATCTCGCTGGCTGATGCTGAGGCTGTACGCCTGTCTGCCAACACGACCGACGAGGTCAAGGTTACGGTCGTCCCATCCAACCCTCAGGTCATCAACCCAAATGGAGGGACCAACTACAAGGGTCAAATAATCTTTGCCGGCGAAGGGCAAGGTGCCAACGTTGCGTCTGCGCTATATCTGATGAATCCTGTGGCTCCATACAATACCACTGGTGGGTTACCTGACATATCTTCTTTCTGTTACCTGATGTCTAACAACCCATAGTCCTGGTGAATAACTACTTCGGTCGTCAGTTCAACTCGCTCAACGATGTTGCCATCAACCCCCGCAACGGTGAGCTGTACTTTACCGACACCCTCTACGGCTACCTTCAGGACTTCCGCCCTGTTCCCGGTCTGAGGAATCAGGTCTACCGCTACAACTTTGATACCGGTGCAGTGGCCGTCGTTGCTGATGACTTCACCTTGCCAAACGGCATCACCTTCGGCCCGGGTGGTAAGCGTGCCTACGTGACCGACACAGGCATCGCTCTTGGCTTCTACGGCCGTAATCTTTCGTCTCCTGCCTCTGTGTGAGTCGCCCACCCCTTAAAAAGACCTGGCCGCATATCTGACGACCTTAGCTACTCCTTTGACGTCAACAGTGATGGTACCTGGCAAAACCGCAAGACCTTTGCTTACACCGCCTCTTTCATTCCGGATGGTATGTATTTTGTCATTTGACCAAAGGCACAAGCTGATGTAGTTGAAGGCGTTCACACTGACTCCAACGGAAATGTCTACGCTGGCTGCGGCGATGGTGTCCACGTTTTCAACCCCTCTGGCAAGCTCATTGGCAAGATCTACACAGGTACCACTGCCGCCAACTTTCAGTTCGCTGGCGAGGGTCGCATGATCGTTACTGGACAGACCAAGCTCTTCTACGTGAGGCTAGCTGCCTCCGGGACCAAGCTGACATGAGCCTTGGGCAGAGAAAAGTAAGCCTATTGTAATGGAGAAACTTCGCAAACCACTTCATCAGGGCTGATGAGGTGGGATGCAAGATACACAGGCCCAAATTAGACATCTAATTGATAACGCTATTTCGGCGTAATCCAAAGCTCGTGCTGTTCACACTCAAATTAAAATTTCCATCCACAAGCGGACAACCTTAGGTTGATCAACAAGGTTTGTTAGACTATCATCGCTTGGGTCAACGTTTATCACCCTATGTTAAAGGGAACCTTTGGAGAGAAAGTAGATCTGCCCCAAAACCTCTTACTGAATACAGCTTGAATTTTGGGGTCATACTACTAAGAGCGGCCGCAACAAGACTTTCTGGCCCATTGTTGCCGAAGGAAGTTGTTGCCGATTCTGTATACCGTAATTGCAGCAAAGAACGCGGCGGCTGGCGTTTGGAGGGTCCATGGCTCTCCAAGCCTTAAAAGATCTGCACAGCAAGCAGCAAAGAATGGTACTGTCATGCTCGGAGAAAGAGCCCGCGTGCAACACGATCAGTGTCGTGCCCCCCTGATTGCATCGAGGACACTCCAATGGGACCAGCAAAGGCCGAGTGACGCATGTAGGCGACATGATTCTCGACTGTTGTAATTCCGACTATCTCTCACTCAGAAAAAGCCAATTTGTTGCTTCGGACATGACGACCAGGCTTCCAATTGCCAGCTCCACCATCGTGCGATTGCTTGGTTTGTCTTTGCCCTAGCAGCGTTCAAGCCTGCGATCTGACCCCCGTCCGACAAGATTGGTTTTGATACAGACAATCGTCAATGATAGGCTGTGCTTTCATACAAGCCAGAAAGAACTTCGGAAAGGACTCCAATGCGCTGAAAGCAACCTGAAAGTTCCACAAGAACGTATTGTACTTCAACAGATAGGCAAGTTTGACTTGGACTCATGGCCACTTCCAGAACATATTTGCGCCCTCTACTTCAGCCAAAGGATTTCCTTCGCCCTGTCGGGCTGAGCCGTATTGTTCATCGAAGCCACACTTGGTGTAGAACCCGTCTTTCCCCTTGGCGCTCACAACTGACGCGCAGATGCCTTCTTCCCGAGCTCGTTGAATACCCCATTGCACGAGCTTGTAGCCGACACCTTGGCCTTGAAAGTCTGGCCTTACCGCCAGTGCTTCAAGATACCACGACTCGGCGCGCTTGCCTGTCCAAATATCATCAAAAAAAGGGTACGCCCGCTCGATGATATCTTCTTCCTTGGCATCGACGGCACGGCTCGGTCATAACCAAGCATGAGCCTTCATCGCAAGAGATGACAAGGGTTTAAGCGAATTGCCTAGAACGGAATATCAGCATTGTAAAATTCCGAGAAAAATATTTATATACGTACGGGGATCCAAGTACCAGCAATCCATCTTCTGGCCGCCATCTCCAAGTCTGGCCCACTGTGCGATGCCGGCAATGACTTCGTTTCCGTTGACGTCTTTAGTCGTTGCAACCAGCCATTTCCAGCGAAAGTCCCAGAAGTTCACGCGTGCTCGCCTCAACCAGTAAAGGTCTACATCATCTGGGTGTTCGTCGCGATGGGGATGGATGAGCTGGCCGAACAGATTGTCTTCCCAAAATGCTGTAGCCATAACATGGGCGATCTCCGCCAGCTCAGTGTAGCGCGCATCGCGCAAAGCAATCTCGCACATGTTGTTGCAGGACCAGACTTTGCGTGTCATGCGTGGAAGGGAGGGAACGTCGCGAAAATGCTGCTGTCCACAACGTCGTAGCAGCTTGCTTTGATTCTTGGGAGGCTCAGGGGAATATGAGACGGCTTGGCACGCCAGACCATCAGGTAACACTGACGAGGCGGGCGCCAAGCGCCTCTGGCGACGATCCGCTCCGTCCCGTCAACAAGCATGTTCGATGACCAGAACCACCAGCAATCAGCTTGTCGCCGGGGGCCCAAGGGGCTTCATGATTTGATCCGGCGTTCCGGTTGGTTCGGGGCGGAAACCCCTGTGAGCCGCCCAAAAATTCGGCTGCAACCGCGGACATAGTCCCTGAATTGGCAATCGACATATCCACAGTATGTGCGCACGACGAACGATGTTAAACTTTTATCTCTGGGGCAAATCATTTAGGCGCTTCATCACGAGCCAGAATACTGTAGGAAACGAAGATCGGCTGAGATTCCTGTTAATTTCGGTTATGATGCGCATACAAACCCCACTGCAGGCTACTTGCTGCTGCTTGCTATGCACGTTGAGTATCATATTCGACCCTCCAGACCACTTCCTTGTTGATAATCAACTCTTGACTGCCATTCCTCGAGCTTTGTTCCTCCTCGTCGGGCCTACCATCAGTGTGGTTAATGATCGTAGTTCGGTGAGCAAGTTGGTCGGGCCTCCAAGCCTGAGGTCGGACGCGGTGCTCTGTGTCCACGTCGTCTCTTATCAATCCTGACGATGTGGCGGTGACGCTCCCGACGGCTGATGACGTGGCTTGAGATTTGTTCTTCAATGACCGCATGGCATACAGGTTGCTAGATCCGTAGCCGCTAATGTCAAAAGCCACCGGAAGGCCCATCCCAATGCAGAAAGATTTCATGAAATTTTTCAGGTTGGGGACCGTTGCCGAGTCAAGAGACCATAGGATCATGGTCTGTTGGAATAGGAGACTGCTATTCACGGCGAACTGGGGTTCATCCGACTCCAAATACTTGTCAAAATATGACAGATGAAAGGCCGAAAGCGCAATAAGTGGCAGGCGGAATGTGAAGGCCAGCACCACCTGACACTCCCGTTCAAACGACATATTGACGGTCCAGCAGAGCTTCACCACAAGAAGCCAGCCGAGAATTTCGGTAAGCATATCAAGGGTTGTGATGGCCAGGCATCGAGCTTTCTAGGTATTGATTAGCACATGTATTCGAAGTCACAAAATAGTTTCTTACCTGGTGTGGGCAGAACAAGGCATTCTCAAGCGCCAACAGTGTATCAGAGCGGCATTTGACCAGCAGCGTAGTACATGCCGCAGCTCCTCACAGAGCGCTGATGGCCATGAGGCCAAGACAGATGGGTCTGCTCTTCCCAGTCTTTGACCCGATGATGCGAAGCACGAGAGCTAGAACAGAGCATTTAGCCAAGCTCAGGGCGAGCACACATAAAACCTCAGAAACTAGGAAAGCCCGTGGCAGTTATTAGCATCTCTATCAATATTTTAAAGGGGATCATACCTTGGAAGACAAAGTCCATTGGATCTCGGAAGTGTTGGAGTTGAATTTACTCAGTCCATTGTTCAGGCCAGCGAAGACGGCGATTGATTGACCCAAGTGTAATGCTGTAGCTAGCGCTATGAAGAGGTCATCGAGCCCATACATGCGAAATTTGATGAAAGCCCTGGTAGCCACCACAAGCGCGCTGTATATCAAGGCCAAAATGGAAATAATCCATAGTTGGCCCGCATGGTCGTCAAATGCAACTGGAGAAAAACGAGGACCATCCATGGCCTACAACCGTCAAAACTATACAGAAAAAGAATTCCAATTTTTCGGACTTCTGGAGTACGTCAATGCAAGAGACCTGTCCGCCGAGTTGGGCCATGCGTCTCTTCATGTACTGAGAAGCCCGATCCTCTCGCTCGGGATGAGGCCCAAAGAACGAGCTCCTGAATGAGACGCCACTTCCATTCTACTGGCGGACCAATCTCAAGGCTTTTCAGCGAGACACGCGCCGATTAGACTTTGATCTCTTGACAGGGTAGCTCGCTGTTCTGCGAGGCCGGGAGGGGGGGACTTGCCATGTACCATGTATACATAGTATCCCGTCACTACCCTTGGCGGCCGGGCTCTGGTTCTCCAATGACAAACTTTTTTTGCAACATTGAAATGACAGTAGAATCATCTTGCGTAACAAAAGTGTAAGCACCGATCCAGAAGTCGACCTGGCAGCCAGGGTGCCCAGCCCCTGCAGGCAGCAGACGTTCCAGGACCCCTGTTATGGTTCGGCTGCTTCACAAAACGGGCAAAGACAGATTTCTGAGGACTCCACTACCGATGCTATCCATCCACAAGGCGCCGTGTTGGACGCCAACAACACAGCACCAAAGGTTCTATCGCTGGCCAGAGTCCAACACGCCATGCAGCAGCCCAGTTCTGGCCAGAACTGTGACCATCGCAACAAGCCGGCATGCTTTTTCGAGCCATGATCCTGGTGCACTGAGCGTGGGGGGTCTATACACCATCTTTCAGCCCAGGGCGGCCGTCTGCTGCTGCATGACCTCTGACCGTTCCCCCCTTCCCTGCCATCGTGGTTTCCCCGGCTTCTCCTACTGCTCTACATATTCCTTTCGTTCCTTCGTTGAAGAAGTTTTCTTTTTACCTTCTGTATTCAAGCAACGATGTCCGCTGATAAGGAAGATCGTCTGGTGTACGGCTCTGCCGCCGACCTGATGGCGATGGCATCGACGAGAAGCGTGGCAATGCCAATGATCGGGCGGACATGTATCTCATGGGCAAGAAGCAGGAGATGAAAGTAAGAACAGTGAAACTAGAATTTGAGCCTGACAGCTACTAATGATGGTACCGTAGAGAAACTTTCGCTTCCTATCGATCTTTGGCTTCTCCATGATTCTAATGGCATCGTGGGAATTCTCTTTGAGGAGAGATTGTTGCTGTCTTGAGGCCTAAAGTAGCTAACGTGGCATACAGTGTCTCGACTATTGGTCTCATCAATGGAGGTACGGCTGGCCTCATCTGGATGTACTTGACTTGCTGGGCCGGTTTCATGTTGGTCAATATATCTATGGCTGAAATGGCGTCCATGTTTGTTGCCGCCCAACCCAACTTTGAAGATTTTTGTTAACATAACTGTTAGGGCTCCGACAACTGGCGGGCAATACCACTGGGTTTCCGAATTCGCGCCGCCTCAATACCAAAAGTTCACCAGTTACTTGATGGGATGGATGTGAGTCCTTGGCTGGAAGACGTCTTGCGCGTCCTCGGCATACATTTCCGGCACGCAGATCCAAGGGCTAATAGTCCTGAACTACCCCGGTTACGTTCCTCAGCCGTGGCATGGCACGCTGCTCACTATTGCTGTCGCCGCATTTTCGGTCCTCTTCAACACGGTCCTGGCTAGAAAGCTACCCCTCATCAAAGCTCTTGTGCTCATTATCCGTATCTTTGGCTTCTTCGGAATCCTCGTAACGCTCTGGGTCCTGTCTCCTCGGGCTGAGCCCAAAGCCGTCTTCACCGAATTCTTCGACGGTGGGGGCTGGGGAAGTCTAGGTGGCTCTGCTCTCGTCGGCATCACCGCTGGTATCTTGCCTCTGCTTGGTGCCGATGCCGCCGTTCACATGTCGGAGGAGGTGCGCAACGCCGGGCGGACGCTGCCCCGATCCATGATCATAACCACCGTGATCAACGGTGGGCTAGAATGGTTTATGATGATCACCTACTGCTTCTGCATTGGCGACCTTTTTGAGGTCTTCGAAACACCGACTGGGTACCCCTTCATGCAGGTTTTTCTCAACTCGACACAGTCAGCAAGCAGCGCCACGGCTATGGCCGTCTTTGTCGTCGCTATGGCCATATTCTCCAATCTCACCATGGTGGCCATTGCCTCGCGCCAGCTGTTTGCTTTTGCGCGTGATAACGCCGTACCCCTGAGCCCTTGGTTCGCTAAAGTTCCCGCCGGCTGGGATGTTCCCCTCAACGCCATTTTTACGACTTTCCTCATTTCCAGTCTTCTCTCGCTCATCAACATTGGGTCTGCCGTCGCCCTGAATTCAATTACATCCTTGGCGACAACTTCTCTTCTGTCTAGCTATATCTGCTCCATCGGCTGCATGATTTGGAGGCGCTGGACCAATAGTCCTCTACTTCCCTCAAAGTTCAGGCTCGGTCGATGGGGTCTAACCATCAACGTTGCCTCAGTTGTGTTTCTCGTTGCCATCTTCGTCCTGGCTTTTATGCCGCCAACGCCAAAACCCACTCTCGACTTGATGAATTGGAATATTCTCATTTACAGTGTCATCGCCTTGTTCTCTCTGGCCTATTATCTCGTGCGCGGCACGCATCAGTACGAAGGTCCTGTTGCTTATGTTAGGACTCTAGCACAGTAGGACAATGCGTGAAACCTGGGCTAGAATATTTCAAGACTTTGCATAAGTATGTAGCGAGGGGCCAAAAACTTAGGGACTATATGAAACCAAATTTAGAAATCAAACCCGACATCCAAAAGAAAACCTTTGCTGTAGAGAGCCTGCGAATGCGAAGCTCTCAGAAGTTCGACAGTTCCACCCAACACACTGAGCTGGAAAGCCTGCAGGACTACTAGGTCCATCAAAGAGGACGGGCACTGCCGTTTAGATGTTTGGGCGATTGAGGCCGACACCGCGGCCTGGCACAAGGGTAACATGACTGCAAAGGCAATGGGCTGATGCGATTACGATCACCGGCACGGCCTCTCATCTCTACCGATCAGCTACAAATGCGGATTGAGAGGGATGCACGATCACAAGCAAGTCTTCGAACTCTTTTGCTGTCCATGGGTAATTAAAGAAGTGAATTCGGATCGAAACCAAATTCATTGTTGGAATTTGATCACCACACACAACCTATCCATCCAACCCACCAACCGTTTAAGCGTCTAAAGCGTCTACATTAGAGCCATGCGTCACATCTCTCTGAAAACGATTGCACTATATAGTAGATAGAATCCAGCGTAAAATGTGGATGATAGAACGATGTATTGAGTGCTCTAATCTACCACACTTTCAATCAAGAGCACGGCCTATGCATCGCCACCATTTAACCCCCTTCCTTATAGAAATCTACTGACGCTTATCCTCGCGAACCTCGACAACGTCAGCGTCGTCCTCCTCCAGCTTGTGGTTGGTCTGGCCGATACCAGCAAGGTCGTAGACTAGGAAAAAGAACGTTAGCAGGGTTACAAGCAGACATGGGATGAATGTTGAACTTACTGTCGATGGGAGTAGTGGCGAACTTTCGGGCAGACACCTTCTTCTGGAAGAGGTAGTCGATGTCGGCAAAACTGCGGTTCTTCGTCTCGGGCAGGCAGAAGAAGATCCAGACAGCCCAAATGAAGCAGAGACCAAAGTAGAGGAGACCAGCCCTGGCTCCCCAGTTCCAAGCATCGCCTCCCTTGTTAAGCATGCGGGGGTTGAGTTGCTGGACACAGATGACACCCGTAACGTAGACGGCGCGGCCGAGGACAAGAGTCTGAGCGCGGACACGGCTGGAGCACATCTCTCCAACAATGACGTAACAGGCGGGACCCAGCGACAGCTTGAAGGTCAGCTGAACGAAGATCAGGATGACAGCAACAGCAATAGGAATGTTGTTAGTCTTGATGAAGCCCAAGATTCCCATAATCAGCATGCAAAGGCCGATGAACGAGGAACCGTAGAGATAGAAGGTACGACGTCCAATACGACCCATCAGAACAATGGCAATAATAGTGCCGACGATATTGGTCGACTGAATTCCCATGCTGAAGTTGAAAGACTGGTGAGTAGGCATACCACCAGCCCGGAGGAAGACGGCGGCGTAAGCGGTAAGGGCCTGACCGTTGAGAATCTGGACAACCCAAGTCATGCAGGTAATGAGGGTACGGCGTAGGTTAGTGCCGTGGAAGCAGTCCCTATAGCTGGCGCCCTCGGCTTCGATCTTCTCCATCTCGTTTGTGTGCTTCATGAACGCGATGAGCTCGGCCATAGTTTGGTCGGTGTAGTGTCCCTTTCGAGCGAGGCGGCGAAGCGACTTCTCAGCCTCATCGACACGGCCACGACGAATCAAGTACCAGGGGCTCTCAGGGGCAAAGAGGCCGACGAAGAATAGGGGCACGACCCAGACCCACTGTAGGCCATATGGCACACGCCACCCAGCGTCTCCTGGCAGGTCGAGAGAACCACGAAGCACACCCGCAGCTAGGAAAGATCCGGCACCCCAGCACATGGACACCCAGGCAGTGAGGTATCCACGGATGGCGGCGGGGCAAATCTCGGCAGCGTAGGCAGTCGTCAGAGTCTGGAAGATACCCCAGGGAATGCCGCAGAGAATGTTACCGGCGAGGAGCATCTCAACGTTCGTAGCGAAGAACAGGCAGAAGATCGTGGCGCCCATGGCGACCATGGCTCCCATGTAAACCTTGCGCGAACCGAAGCGAGACTGGAGCCAACCGTTGATGAGAAGGCCGACGATGGTGCCGGCATTGTTACCGTTGCCGATAGCCGCCTGCCAGGTCGAAGAGATATGGTTCTCACCAGCCTCGTTAGGCCAGCCGAACCTCTTCAGATAGGCAGGATGGGCGAAGAAGTTGTTGATAAGGCCGACATCCATACCCTCCATGACCAAAGCCAAACTCAGCAGACCACTGTAGATGACGGCCGGCGCGTAACGGGAGAAGAGCTCCTTGCGAGACAGGTTGGCTTCTTCGTCACTCGTCTTGTGTGCGGCCTCGATGAGAGCCAGGTCGGGGTTGTACACGCCATTCTCGGCGTGGGCGAGTCCGGGTTGCTCCTTCTCAGACATGTTGTCGGTTTGTGTATTGGTTGGCGACGCGAGTTGGGGTGAAGGGGTGAGGAACAGAGTCAGTCTGACAGGAGGGAAAGGCCTTCAAGATAAACATGTTCGCCATGTGGAGCAGATCCCCAGGGCGTCCCCTCCCACATGGCCCCCATGGGGTCCATGAATCAGCCTCCCCTTCAGCCATCTCCTTCTCCCCGCATTGTCCCCCCGCGGGGGTGTCCCACGAATCACTTTTGCCCCAGCTTCGGGTCCAATTCCTTCGAAAAACCGGATATGGTAGCCGCTTAGGGTTTGGTAGACACCATACTCGGCCGTCGCGTCAGAGCCTCCCGAGTCAAGACCCAACAGGCTTGGCACTACTGGCCAGTAGGCGTTGGCCTTCATAAGCTTTTGTTTGACTCCCAATCGTGATTGGCATGGGCCCACCGCAGACCTGTGGCACAGCCCCGGCACGTTGCCTGTTTCAATCGGTGGCCCATCACAGTTGCAGGCGAGCAATCCACCCGAGACGACCTTCATCTCATACGCCAAGACTCAATTAACCTTATTGCAGCACGGCGAGATTGCCAGGCCTGGATTGGCGGCATGGCATGATGCTTCGCGCCGGGTCATCAGTTGTCTGTCGGCACTCGTTCGTCCGATGGGCTGTCCCGTTCGTAGTGTGGACCACCAATTGCACTTGCAGTCTAATCGTCTGCAGTCGGCTACCTCTGCTCATCCATTGCGGATCGCATCAACAGGCATTGAAGGTCAACGGACTACTGCTCCTGTCTCTCGAATACTTACAATCAAGCCCTTTGATTGTAATGCCAAATCGCTCTTTTTGGAAGATAATACGTCTTTGATCCTGGCCCTCGCCTGCGTCCGCGCCGACACCCATCTGCTCGGCTCCGCCAAGCTCGGTCCGCGCCTTTAATCAGCGAACAGGCTGCATGTGGCGGCGATGGGCGCCCTTTCGGGCCACCTCGCACGCGTCGAATCCTGCCGATGGCGATTCCACCCTTGGCGTGTGGCCTTGGCGTGCGGGCACTTGATCGGCCACAACATGTGCTGGCTCGGCACGGCCGGCAACGACCTGGTAATGCAGCCTGCACATAGCTGACTCTTAGTAGGTCGGGTGAGATCTCTTTCGTGCCTTTTGCTGCTTGACAAGTGGGTCGTTGCCATGGGGCCGGGACACACACACACACACACAAGTTTATTACGCCTGGTGGCCTAGAGCCAATAAGGCACTATTTGCTATTGTACACGGTCGCTTCCTCTAGTCTGTCCGAATCTCCCAAGCCCATAATAGGTCATCTTTCCGCTCTTGCTTTCTCGTCTTCTGTCTTGCCGCCGGTTTCTCGTGGGGTTTAGATTGTATTGGCAAGCTGCTTGAAGGCTATTCTTCAAGTGTTCAGAGTCCTATCTACGGCGACTGAAGCGGCGCTTACTGTTGTTGACACGAGGTGTGGGTGTTAGGTTCGGTTAGTAGAAGAAGGGGGGTTTTGGTGTGTTAGGCCCCCGCAAGGGATCACACGTTCTCCAGTCGGCCCGTGGCCTTCGCAAAGCGTATCGTAGCTCGGACTGCTTTCATGTCCGGCTTCCAATCATCACCATCTGATGTCGTCTTACCTCCCAAATGGAAGGAGATGTTGTCTCTTTGTGTGCCAGGGCGCATGAGTGTCTCGGCTCGTTGTGTTGCCCATCGTGTGCATCGGAGGAGAAAGTGCTCCACCGTCTCTCTCGCTTGTCCGCATGCGCATTGGGCTGAAGCTACTGCCCTGATTCGGAAAAGTGAGGCGTTCAGTCTCGCCATGCCTGTCCTGAGCTGGGCCAGCATGCTCGCCTCCATCCAGGAAAGGTTATCATATAGTTCTCGAGTGTGCTTGCCGGGTAGTGCTATGTCGACTTCCTTCGAGAGTTTTCCAACATTATCTGGTAGTCGTCTTTCCACACGTAGTTTGCGCCTTGCAGCGTTGAGGGTGGTGGATCGCATCTTTGGGAACTGTTTTTCAGGCAAGGCGCCATCTCGGCTGGCCTTGCGTGCTTCTCCTTTCGCTTTCTTCAGGAGGTCGTCGTCGAGATGGCTCGGAAGCCACACGACTGAGATGGTGTTCCCGGTTTCTCGCAGTCGGGTGATCGCCTCGTAGATGCAGCGAACGTACTCTTGTCCAGACTGTTGTTGGGGGTTTCGAAGTGTCAGCACCGCGGCTTTGTTGCTTGTCAGTAGCGTCACGGTCTGCCCCCTCAGCTGCGGCAGAAATCGCAACGCGTATGCTGCCGCTACCAGTTCTCCGGAAAATGGGTTCTGATCGGTCCTCATGCCGTGGGTGAAGGAAAACGTCTCGAGCCTCGTCCCTGGCCCCTTGACGGTTCCACCGACGCCGACCACCTCGTTTCGTGCCGAGCTGCTCACAGCGATGCGCACCGTGGCCTCCTCATCGACCCGCGTCAGTGTTGCATCCTCGTCGTTCCATTCAGTGACGGTCTGCACTCTTTCCATCCACGGCGGCAGTGTGAATGGGTTGATTGTTTCCAGGTCCTCCATTGGAATTTCGTTGAGCGAAGTTGCCAGTTGGAAAAATGGTGA